AGGTTCTCATGCTTGTATGCCTGCTAACAAAAACTATCACAAAGGACTGCAAAAACCAAAACTATACACAAAGGCATTGCAACTTCACACAAAAAATACTTCTACAGCCTGGGAAGCATGGTAAAACCCCATTTCTACACAAAACACACACAAAAAACAGCTGGGCATGGTGGCATGTGTCTGTAGTCCCAGCTACTCAGGAGGCTGAGGTGGGAGGGTCACCTGAGCCTGGGAGGTCAAGGCTGCAATGAGCCATGATCGGGTCTCTGCACTCCAGCCTGGGTGATAGATTGAAATCCTGTCTCAAAAAAAAAAAAAAAAAAAAAAAATTCTTCTGCAAGGACATCTGTCCAGCAATTGCCTGTCCAACCTCAGAGGCGCATCACCCTTGTTCATTGATCTTTAGAATCAAAGACAATTATTTCAAAACAATTATGTAATCCTCATTTTTTTCCTTTAAAAATGTTTGTCTTCCTTTACCTCTCTGAATATGCACACAGCTTACTATGACATGCGTATTCCCATTGTAATGTTCTATTCTCTAAAACAAATAATCTCTTCCTTTTAGAGAGCCTCTCTTTGTTTGTTATTTAGGCTGACAGTGATAATTTCACTCTTCGATTCCCCACAAAGAAAATTTTTAATCACCTCCGCCTGTTCAAACCACTGATCCTCTTTAAACACCATTCCTGCAATTTGTGCCATCAAGCAGATGGCCTTTTCCTCTTTATGAAAAAAAGACACATCACACAGTAACTCCTTCAAACTTCCTGATGCCTGATTTACACACAAAGCACCTCTGGACTCATCCTAAAACCACCCCTATAAACTTTGTAAAATTAATCAGGGAAGAAAGAAGAGGGAGAAATGAAAATATACCAAGCTTGCAGCATGTTGAAAGTTAATTGTTAGGTCAGCTCAGTTTCACCTGCTTCCTCATAGTTGTTTGCTGCCTACTGACCTAGAATCATGGACCCTGTTACAAGATTATAGTTTCCCTGAACTGTTCTATAGATAACAAACTAAACATTATGAATCGTTGTTTTCACTTTGAGACATTCCTTCAGGTCCTGCATACTGACGAAACTACTCTGCCAGCTGGTCGGAGGGGCCCATGACGCTGACTCACCAAATAATGCAGTTTCCACATCCTGCTGACTTCATCTCCCTCGCCTTAACCAATCAACAACCCCAATTTTCCAGCCCCTTACCCTCCATGATCCCCTTAAAAACTCTAGCCTTAAAGACTCCTCAAAGAGATGGATTTGAGGGTCTCCTCCCATTTCCTTGCTCAGTGCCCTGCAAGAATTAACTCTTTCTCTGCTGTCTGTATAACTGGTCTGTTTACTGGGCAGCAGTCATAGGAACCTCATGGTCCTATGGCAATCCTAGCCATCCTTCTTCCTGCAACACAGGAAGAGCTCTCCCTCTTTCATTCTAAAGCAAATCCCTTCTATTGTGCTTTGATTCCACCTTGTTGGGAACTTGATAGTATTAATTATTCCTTCTCTCTTGTGTATTCAACCTCTCCCCGCAACACTTTCCAGCAATCTTTAAAGTTTTTCATATCATGAAAAGAAAGAACAACTATCCTTACCCCTCCTATAGGTTGAATTGTGTCCCTCCCCTCAAAAATACATTGGTTGAAGTCCTGACCCCCAGTACCTCAGATTGTAACAATATTTATTAGGAGACAGAGTCTTTAAAGAGGTAATTAACCTAAAATAAGGTATTTAGGGTGGGCCCAATCCAGTATGACTGGTATCCTTATAAGGAGAGGAAATCTGGTCACAGACACATACAGAGAGAAGACAATGTGAAGACAGGGAGAAGGCCATCGTCAAGCCAAGGAGAGAGGCTGGAACAGAGCCTTCCTTCATGGCCCTCAAAGGAACCAATCCTACTGACCTCCTGATCTCAGAACTCCAAGAAAATAAATTTCTGTTGTTAAATCACTTAGTCTGTTTGCTATGGCAGCCCTCGCAATGCAATACAACCCCTCTTCCACCACTTATAGCCATTACTCTATTTCTCATCTTTCCTTCAGAGACAGACTTATCAACCACTTGTCGATACTCATTGCTTCCTTCACCACACCTCCCTTTCATTCCTGAATTCACTCCACTGTTGCTCCTGGCCTTGCCACTCCATGCCCTGTGGTCACCAGTGACCTCAATCTTGTGCTTTTCTAACAGACATTTTAAGTCCTTTTATTTACCCTTTCAGCAGCATTTGACAGGTTTGTAAAACTCCTTCCCTGAAATGCTTTCTTCCCTTGGTTTCCATGACAAAGAACTCTTCACACTTTCTCATCTTTGGCCAGTCCTTCACTGCCTTCTTTTCAGGTGTGTGCTCCTCTACCTTGCCATGAAATGTTAGAGTTTTTCAAAGTTCAGTTTAAAGCACTCTTCTTACCTCTCTCAACTTTCTCTTCAGGCAATTTTCATCCACATCAATGCTTTTAATTACCATTCACGCACAGATGACAAACAAATATACCCCAGCCCAGACTTCGAAGTTCGGACCTGTTCTGAACTACCCTTCTACATATTCTCTTAGAAGTCACAGTCACCTCAAACTTAACAAGTCTGAAACCAAACTCATGATTCTCCACACTATTTTGCACCCACAGTAATATCCAAATCTTGCCCAGTGTTCCCTAGGTGGGCAACACCATTATCTTGCAAGCTAAGACACCAAGTCTTACAAGTCAGAAATATGATTCGTCTCTAGTATCTTCTTACTCATCCTAATCCTATTCCCATCACTCTCCTTCTTGGCACTTGTCATAGCTGCCATTTCACAGCTGTTTGTGTCATCATGTAAATATGTCCCAGGAAGCAACAATCCTAGTTTTACTCACCATCACATTGTTGAACCTAGGACAATGTCATACTACTGTAGACATTCATTTTTTTTAATGGATGAACTAACAGGTGTTATTCAAAGAGGACTCATTATGTGTCAAACACTAAATATTTCATGAAAATTATCTTCTTTAGTTCTTGTAACAGTCCTAATAAGTAGGCATTATTGTTGCTGCTATTGTGGTTACTGTTGTTATCCTCTGCTTACTGAAGAGGAGACTATGACATAGAAACTAGGACTTTCTTTCTCCCCAAGGTCAAGCAGCTTGGAAGTGGTAGAAGAGGGTAGATTCAGATTATTTGGGTTCAGAATATGATTTCTGTACTGCTCTGCTACTCTATCTTAGTGGTTTTCAAAGATAATCTCAAGCTAATTGGCTAAAACTTACCTGCATTTAAAACAAACTCTTTAACTTATGAATGAAGTCCATGGAAAAAGCCATGTACAATTAACATATGCTCAGAAATATCCAGTTTATATGTGGTTATCATGGAATACATTCTAAATCCTTTTGCCTGAAATTCAACATCTTCCATGATCCAACTCCTTCCTTCCTTTCAAATCTTTTTTCCCATGACATCCTGATGCTCTAATTTGAGAAGTCATGAACTAGATCAATTGTGCAGGCCAATTCTGGCCCACCACCTGTGTTTGTATAATAAATAAAAGTTTATTGGAGAATGGCCACACATGTTGGTTTACACAATGTCTATATCTGCTCTTGTACTATAATGGCAGAGTTAAGCAGCCACAGCTGCAAGAAAGACTGTATGGTCCACAAAGTCTAAATGTCTGGAATTTTACAGAAGTTTGCCAGTAACTACACTAGACCTCTAAAGTAGAGTCTAGTTCAAAAGAAATACATAAAATAACTACCACTGATTGAGAGCTGGGTTCTTTCCAAACACTAGCCTTTCAAAGGGAGTATTATCATTCCTGTTTCAATTAAGCAAAGAAGGCAGACAGGGAAAAAAAGAGAGGAAAAGAGGAAAGAAAGAAAACAGAACAAGTGAGGCTCAGGTAGGTGAAGTATAGTGAATGGTCACACAGCTAAGCAGAGGAACTGGGATTGGGATCACACTCAGTGACTCAAAAAGGTCATCCACTTCCTACTGTGCCTACTGCTTCCTTTTTCCTCAACAGAACTTAGGATTCTACGCTGCTTTACTCATGCTACTCTTTATCCTCTCCAAAATGCCAATTCTTTCAAAACCTATCACTGCCTGGTGAAATCAGATACATTCTGGGAGGACAATCTCAAATGCTACTTCCCCCACTAAGTCTTCCCAGATTACCTGCAGCTGAGAAATAATCCTTCCTATAAGTGGCTATAACCCCTCAGTCATGTCCTGTGACTCTTAACACTTTCTCGCCTTAAACTTATTGATAGTAAAAACCAAGTTTACCTTTATATACTGTACAAAATCTACCACAATGCCTTCCACAAAAGAAACACTTAATAAATGTTTATCTAATGAGTGAATGAACCTAGATTTAAAAATTAAGATGTCTCCAGTTTGTATTTTTAAATAAAATATTTGAAGATTTATTTTCTTAATTATTCAACATAAAAATCCAGAGTGTAATCTAAATAATAGAAATGTATTCCTTTAGCATTTTTAGTATTTTAGCCTACTTTTCTCATAAAAATAAATTTTAAAAGAAATTAAAATTCCTAACAACTAAATACATTTAATGTTTTCTATCAGTATTATAAAAAAATTTAATATTAGAATCATTTGCATTACATGGGTTATTTTGCTAGGACAGAAATACTCTTCATAATGCCTAAATTAACCAAAAAACTAAGTTATTAGAAATTAAGAATAAACCAAATATCAATAATGAAATGTTATTTTTTGCAAGAATACACTGAGACCACTGATGATGTTTCCAAGAATCAGTTATTTTTGAAGTTCATTGTTACACTAAGCTCAATGCTCAATGTCATCACTGTAGAAATAACTTTTAATTCAAATACTATTTGTAAAACAATACCTAATTCAAAAGTTTCAGAATCCAGTTTGATATGTTCTAAGGTTTTCTATATAGTACATATAAGACTTAATAGTCACACAGTAGAAATTATAAGGAATTAAAAAGAGTTAAATATATTCAAATCAGACACCTACCTGCATCACCTTCTGTTGAATCTCTTCTAACTGTGTGCGCTTGCTACGTTGCCTACAAACTTCCTGGTAGCGGGTATATTGCTCTCGGAGTGAATCTAATAATTTCATAACCTGTGGCTGTGCGAGCAGTTCATCATCCATTGGAGACCATGAAACCCCTCCGTCTGAGCCATTAAATCGACGCTGCTGTAATTCGGATAATAATTCATGCCCTTTACAAATAAAAGATACTTGAAATTAATATCTGTAAAGAAATGCAATTCTCACTTCTCAATATTCTCAATTCTAGTCCCTTGTTTTTAAAACCTATCTGTCTACCTACATATCTATCAGGTTATAAATGCAATTTAAAAATGTATGTATCACAGTAAATAGGAAAACTGCACATATTAATATGTATATGTGTGTATACATATATACTATGTAAACTAGTATATTAAAATGCTATATCATACATCATAAATATATACACCATAGAAATACTATACTACATATTAAATATGGCACATATACGGTTTATATATTTTTTTCTATCAATCACATTTTTGTTATTGGTGAATTAATTACTCAGGATACTGTGCCAAACAATCCTATTTATCTGTAGAGCAAAATTATACTGTGGGATTTCTGTCTGATGGTACTAATCCAAGTTGTATGTTGTAGGGTTTCAGTATTAATCCATATTCTCAATTATAGCATTTAAAAAAAAGGTGATAGTATAACGAATGATTAAAAGAAGAAAGTTTTTATTACAAGTACAAAATAATATTTATATAATCTCTATTTATAAGAATCTTCACAACATATTAACAGTGAATAATAACGGGCCGTACTAGTGTTAGAACTGCAGTGAATGTGACTCAATTACAGAAAACTCATGTAGAAAATCCACTCGTACATGAGGAACTACAATTGCAAAATGTGCAACAATTAAAGCTGTAGGTATTAAATAATTTTAAAAGTAAAGAAGGTAAAAATTGTTTTTGTGACTAATATTTAGGCATCAAAACAACACACATATTTAAATTCTCTTCCTTATTTAGAATAATATCCTAAATTTAAATGGCTATCAATATACAGCAACTGAACTTTTATTATGGTTTGGAGTATTTCTAATTTCTAAAAGTACCTATGATTGTTCTAAACTTCTTCGTTTTATATTCTCGTTCAATCCTTAGTTTAAAAGTTAACAGCATATAAAATAGGACCTAGTAGCATATAAAATTAAATTTAAAACAGAAATTGTAAAAGCTTAATTCAATGAATTAAAATAAAAAGTTTCAAGCTGTTAAACATATGTATGGAATTAAGTTTTAAATCTAGAGCAGTATTTTACTGACAGTACCTTCTAAACATATAATAATTCAGAGATTACAAGTATTTCTTTGTTCTCTAACAAAATAAGCTGTATATCATACTGGAAGAACTTAGGACACCTGAATCAACACAACAAATACATTCAGAATTTACTTCTTTATTATTTATTACATTTTATAATTGGAAAAGTAACTGTTCTAAAGATTTGCACAGTCGTTTTATATACATTCATAAAAGCTATGAATATCAGAATACATTTAATTTTTTCTACTTTGACAACTGTCACCCTTAATATTTTCCTTGTGGATATCATTTTCCTTGTGGATATCACAACACTATGCTGTCATGATAGTGTCATGATCTCAAAGAGCATGCATTGAAATCAAACTGCCTAGGTCCAAGTCTCAGCTTCAGCATTTACTAGCTGTGTAACCTATATAAGTTACTTAACCTTTTTATGCTTCAGCTTTCCCGTCTTAAAACTGGGATGACAATAGTATCTATTTCACAGGACCGAAATGAATTAACATATGTAAAGTGCTCAGAGGTGGCACACCGTAGGATTAGAGTTATGAGCTATTATTAAAAAAAGATTAGAAATAAAATTGAGGTATTTCAATTGGAAAAAATTACAGTTTGGTTCTCCTAGAGTTTGTGAAACTGCTACCAGAGATATTTGGGTTGGAATATACATATCAGGCAGCACTATGTGCAAGGCTTTGCAAGGTGATCAGTGTTTTTACATCGAAGATTATAAAACAGTAGAGCTTTGGCTTTGGATTTAGCTATGGAGAGAGAGAGTTTAATAGTTACTTGATCTTCAGCAAGTTATTTTCTATCACTAAACCTTGGCTTCCTCCAGTACAAAACAGATAAAATAACACTAATTATCTCAAAGGCTTGTTAGGAGAATGAAAAAGAAAAATACATAAATACAATGTCTGCCACATAAGGAGTGTTCAATAATTCTTAGGGCAACCCAGTGAAATAAAAATTTTTATCTTCATTTTATTGATAATAAAATAAATCCAAATTTTTAAGGGAGAGATAATTATTACTAATTTTTAAAAATATTATAAAGCTGGGGTTCCTCCTACCCCCACCCTGGGCCACACAGCAGGAGATGAACGGCAGGCCAGCAAGCACTACTACCTGAGCTCTGCCACCTGTCAGAGCAGTGGCGGCCTCAGACTGTCACAGGAGCACAAACCCTATTGTCAACTATGCGTGCGAGGGATCCAGGTTGCATGCTCCTTATAAGAATCTAATGTCCAATGATCTAACGTGGAACAGTTTTATCCTGAAACCATCCCTCACCCAGTCCACAGAAAAATTGTCTTCCACAAAACCAGTCCCTGGTCCTGAAAAATTTCCCCTTGAGTTCCTTCCACATGTACCACATTCATGCTGAACTCATGTTTATTTAATGAACCAATCAATCCAATTGGTTTACTGGATTATTATTACAAATATTTTTTAAATCTTACCTGTTTGAAGAACCGTCTCAGGATCAACCGATGGAAGAAAGTTTAAATCCACAGACCTGGAAAACACCAAATGAGTAATTTTCAAAAGACATATTTCTATCAATGTAACTTTAAAAATTCCTTTATATATAAAAAATCAAAACAGGGGCACAAAAGTATGAAAATCTGAAGCATACCATTCTACCATGCTAACTTATCTCAAGCATAAGGAAGCCCATTTGGGAAAAGTAAATACTAGTAGCCAGAGAAATACCAACATAATAAATCATAAAATAACTACTTAGAAAAATACAGTTTACTGTTTTTAGTCATAATATTATTTCAAATATATCAAAGAAGTCCATTTAGTATTTATCCAATGAATATTTGTTTCAAAATGAAGTTTGTCATATAGTAACCCAGAAATTTAACATTAAAAAAATGCATGCAGCCATCCTCCAGTCAAAACTTTATTTACCTACAGCAATCTTTGATAGCTGCAAATATTCTGTCTTATATTCCAGAGGGGTATGTGTGTGTGCGTGTGTGTGTGTGTGTGTGTGTCCGTCCTAGCAGTTGTACTCTCTTCCCTAATCATACTTCTTGTGCAGCTGGACATCTGCCTTTATTTTCCTAAACACATACAGGAAAGAAAAGATGAAGGGAAGAAAGGGGACAAGGACCTTGCTGCTGCAACTGACCGGTCTTGTGCTAAATTTTTTGCTTTTTGTCAATTGATCTAGGTCCTCAGATGCTTTCTGAGGATTGACATAAAGAATGTTGGAAAAAAAAAAAAAAAAGACGGTTGATTAAAATTTGCAAGAGGAGGGACTCTATTATCTGGGATCTGGGGTTTAAAGGAAACTAAGCAATAACACGTGAGTTCCTTGCACGAGGAACTGGCAAATACAAGGTTTTGATATTTCATGTAGTCATGCAAACCAGCACTTTCCAAAGTGTTTCCCAAAACACCAAAAAAGTTTTTTTTTTGAGACGGAGTCTCGCTCTGTCACCCAGGCTGGGGTGCAATAGCGTGATCTCGGCTCACTACAATCTCTGCTTCCCGGGTTCAAGGGATTCTCCTGCCTCAGTCTCCTGAGTAGCTGGGACTACAGGCGTGCGCCACGATGCCCGGCTAATTTTTGTATTTTTAGTAGAGGCAAGGTTTCACCATGTTGGCTAGGATGGTCTCTATCTTCTGATCTCGTGATCCACCCACCTTGGCCTCCCAAAGTGCTGGGATTACAGGCGTGAGCCACTGCACCCGGCCTGAATAAGATATGTTTTAAGGAAGCAATTAAACAGGTTTCTTTGCTGCACTGCTTCTTTAGAACCTATAATCTGCAATATTCATAGTCATTCTCAAAGAGGGAAATATAGTCAACAGCATTAAACTCTTTGACCATGGACTCATTTTCTATAGGCACCAACATGGGATGTCTTTCCCAAGGAATATAACGAAGAAACATCAAACTTACTCTGATGGACTATTCAGAAAGCAAAGAAGTCCAGCTAATTTTCATCAAGTAACTCATGATATTTTCAATTCCTAAACCACAGCATATATGTGTGTGTGATATCTACAGACACACAATCACATATTTATATACACAGACAAAATTTCATAATTTTACATTTTTATATGGCATCTATAGGACAGAAACATTCCTAACTGCCTGTGGTGACTTTAATCAGATTTACATTCAAACCATTTGTTTTCACATTTTGACTTTGATTTAATCAAGATTTTGTTAAAACTAAGATCTTACACTCAAAAACTTGATATGTGACTGTATTTGGATTCATGGAATAACAACAAGCATTTTATTAAGGTTCCACTGTATCTTCAAGGTCAGATTCAAAGGAGACAGGATGATAGGGAAGACAAGGATTCTTTCACATTTCCTAATGAAAAATTACTGTTCTAGTGACCAGTAATAATCAAGTGATCTGAATAGTTAATTTGCTTGCTAAAGTGTTTTTTATCTGAGGAGGGGGACTTGGCCTACCAACAGAAATGTGAAAGCTGACAAGGCTATAAATCAAGGAAAATCTGTTAACATGATAAATCTAGGTAGTTACATTCAGATAACACAACTCAACTATTACTTCATCGCATGTCATAAAACACTAAATTCTCCAAGTTCAATTCACGAATATCACATATTTTACAACAACAGAAAAAGTTCTATAGGCTAGACATTTTAGTGCTAATGTATTCAAATAAGGGTTATAATAATTGTATTTCAAACTGCAACTTTTTTCATATTCTTAGCCAGGAAAGAAGATAACTCTAAAAAGGCAGAAAATTGTTTCTTTTGAAAATATGTTCTTGAAACACTTTACATAGTGTCAGAAAAAAGTAAATACATTACTATTCATTTAAAAATGGACCAAGCGCGGTGGCTCACACCTGTAATCCCAGCACTTTGGGAGGCCGAGGCAGGCAGATCAAGAGGTCAGGAGACCAAAACCATCCTGGCTAACATGGTGAAACCCCGTCTCTACTAAAAATACAAAAAAGTTAGCCAGGTGAGGTGGCGGGCGCCTGTAGTCCCAGCTACTCGGGAGGCTGAGGCAGGAGAACCCATGAACCCAGGCATGAACCCAGGAGGCGGAGTTGCAGTGAGCCGAGATCGTGCCACTGTACTCCAGCCTGGGCAAGAGTGAGACCCCGTCTCAAAAAAAAAAAAAAAAACAAGGCTTTTGTGAAGAAACTTTGATTTAAACCAATACGTTTTACATGTAAAGCAAATTCTCATGAATATTGTGTATCAATTTTGATAGAATGAAGACTTTTTTTACTGTAGATTTTTTAGCCTGTATTAACAACAGAGCTATCTTTTATCAGATCAATTACAGTTTTGAAAGGATATAATTGCACGCCACTAGCCACCTACCTTTCTTTCTCTTGCTGATTTCCTTTATCACTTCCATTGTTAATCAAAGCAAGTTCATCTAATAATGATGTAGATTCCTTTGTAAACTTCTCAAAAACCTACAATATGAGTTTTATTAACATACTAAGAACAGTCTTAAAAATTAATATGTAATAAGGATCATCTGTTAAGAGCAATAGAATTGGCCAGCTAGGATTTGTTTTCCTTCCCTGGCAGTCAGTGCAATTCTACCACCAGAGCACAACAATGTACACAAGAGAAGACAAAACTGTTTCCTAAAGCAATGAATAGTTTCATGGATAAATAATTTTTAAAATTTAAATACATCAATAAATTATCTTCATTCTCCATTCAGATAAGTGTTTCTTTGAGAAACATTTGCATCGATAACAGTTCTAATTACATACATGTAATTTAGAACATGCTAAGTCTCTAATAACAGTTACAGAACATTTCTTTATGTTATTCTATCACCAACACATGTTGGTTTCATATAATAGTTGTTACATACATGCATATAGCATTTAAAATTAGTTATAATTTTAATGATTTCTTCAAATATTTCTGAAAAGGAATTTGCGCAAGTCTGTTTAAACGTACATAATAAAGTGGACAATCACTTGACTGACAGCACTTTTTAAATATGGTAGAAATAGGCTGGGTACAGCAGCTCATGCCTGTAATCCCAGCATTTTGGGAGGCTGAGGTAGAGGGGTTGCTTGAGCCCAGGAGTTCATGACCAGCCTGGGCAACAAGGAGACTCCATCTCTACGAAAAATAAAACCTTTGTCAGGCATGGTGGCATGCACTTGCAGTACCAACTACTTGAGAGGCTGAGTTGGAAGCACTGCTTGAGCCCAGGAGTTAAAGGCTGCAGTGTGTGGTGATCATGCCACTGCATTTCAGCCTGGGGCAAGACCCTGTCTCTAAATAAACTGGGTGGATACAGAATTAGTTAACCATTCAGAGATAACCAAAAGTTCACTATTCTCCAAAAAAATTATCATTTAATCTAAAATGAGTTAATCTGATGTTTTTTCTTTCAGTAGTTGAATTTAAAAAACCATCAAATTACACAGAGTAGCAGATTTCAGAAGTCTAGATTGCCGAAGATGATAAATTTTCACAAATGAAAATGTTTAATATGTCAAACCGCTCTTCAAGTTGATAATTCAAATTAATGTTTAAATATTCTCTGAAAATGGTAAAGCAACTAGATCACCTCAAGAAATTATGCTGCTGTTCGCTGGGAGCACTGGCTCATGCCTGTAATCCCAGCACTCTGGGAGGCCAAGGCAGGTGGATCACGAGGTCAAGAGTTTGAGATCAGCCTGAACAACATGGTGAAACCCCGTCTCTACTAAAAATACAAAAATTAGCTGGGCATGGTGGCGCGTGCCTGTAATCCCAGCTACTCAGGAGGCCAAGGCAGGAGAACTGCTTGAATCCCAGAGGCAGAGGTTGCAGTGAGCCAAGATTGTGCCACGGCACTCCAGCCTGGGCAACAGAGCAAGACTCTGTCTCAAAAAAAATAAAATAAAATAAAATAAAAGAGAAATTATGCTACTGTTATTCTACTTTAAAAATTTACAACTTTTACTAATGCTATCAATGACAGAACAGTAATAGCTAATACTTATATAGTGCTACTATATCATATCTGGTGCTATTCTAAATGCTTTATATGTATATTCACTTCATTTTACCCATAATCACACAAAGGTAGGTACTCTTATTATCACCATATTACAAATGTGGAAATCAAGCCAAGGCAAGATTAAATACATTGTTGAAGGCCATACACCTAGCAACTAGAATCAGAATTCTAATCAAGTAAGTCCAACTGCACAGTATTTGTCTATTATGTTATAATGTAGTATGCACATAATTCTCCATTTTTGTAAAAAGAAAAATAATCTATATTTTAATAGAATAAAATTATAAAGTTGTCAAAATATATCTTATTTCTATGCAATAACATTTTATCTCATTGTAATATACCAACCAGCCTCTTATTTAACCAGTCCATGTGATCATAGGTGAGACTCCCACCAAAATCTTCTGTTAATTGGCATGGTTCAATATAACGAGTCAATTTATTGGCAGACACTAAAATAACCTACAAAAAGGTTAAAAGAAAAGAAACATTTAGTAACCCCCTATTAAAGTCCATGAAAGTAACCGGGAGGTAAAATTAGGTTAAAATATGCAATGCTGTTTCCAACATGATGACACATTATCATTTACTTAATACAATATTTAAAACCAATTCAATAAGTTATAGATACCTGATAAAAAATTCACCAAAAACTTTTTCTAATACCACATTTTAAAAAACAACAGGTACCAGCAGTTCAGATGAAATATTTTCAAAAATATTTTATTAATGTTTCTTTGTAACAAAAATCAATTCCTTAATGCAATGAAGTAATAAAAAATTTTCACATCACCTTAAAATTAGCTAAGGACACTAAAATGATAAGCTCTATGAAGAGTAAATCCGGCGATCAAAAAGTTACCCATTTTAAAGTTTTTCTAATGTTCCTTTGATTACATATGAACAAAACAAGTCCTCCAGTTGTAGAGTATAACCCACGATAATGTATGCCAATATTTAATTTTTAGTAAAAATTAGGAGATCAGAGTATTTACAAACTTGAAAAGTACATTTTAAAATGCTAATCTTTTAACTCTAAACTTAAAAAGATTTCAAATACAAATTAAGTAAGTACCTAAGAGACCATTGCAGAACTAAATAAAACTTCAGTGAAGATACACATGAATATAAAAGAAAATGCATCTATGGAAGATATTCAAACAGTAGTGTTAATACTAAATGATATATGGAAATGTGAATTTACCAAAAATGACTTGATAAGAAAAAGAATGTGTCTGGCATCATTCCCACTCTCACAATAACAAAAGCCAGACGATCAGCAAAATTATAACTTTTTTTGGAACTCCTAAGAAAGCTGAGGTTACAGGGAAACCTGTAACTAGTTTGAAGTTGAAGAGAAGGTAGGCATCACAGAGAGAAAGGTGACGGGGCTACTACAGAGCGCATGTGCGAAAGTTTTGGAACTCTTTTGTATCTTGATTATGGCAAAAATTATGTGACTATATGAGCTTGTCAAATCTCATAAAACTATATGCTAAGGCATGAATTTTACTTCACATAAATTATACCTCATAAAACTGACTTTTAAAAAATTTAAAAAACAACTTGAGGACTTGTGGAAGAACTCAGAAAGAGACAAATGAAACATTCAGAAACAGACACAATATGTAAAACAAGGTACATCCATACTGTATATGAAGTTATAAACAATAAATAAGGAGAAATCACCAAGACTGCTTTGCTGAAAGAGGGGAAATTTCATCCTCAGGAAGATACCAAAAACACTGCATGAAAAATTCATAGAACTATGAACTCTATCAAATTTGAGTGCACAACAAATTGCTATTGATAACAATACATTAAATGGAAATTAATAGTCTTAAACATTTATATGAGGAAACACAGCCTAGTGAATGAGCTAAGTGACTCATCTAAGAAGTGAGGAGAGGAAAAAGACAGAATAAGTCCAAAGAAAATAGAAGAAAGGAGGTGAAAAATCAGAAGTAAACATAAATTAAGAGCTTACATGGGCTCAAAAAAGCCAAAATTTACTTCTTGAAAAGACTAATAAAATCAACAAACTTCTGATAGGATGAAGCAAGAAAAACAAAGTACAAATAAATAATGGTAACAACGTAAAGGAGAATACAATTTCATTGATAGCAATGGTTTAAAAGACATTAAGGATACAGGATAATTTTGTGCCAATACCTATAAACTTAGAAGAATAGACACATTCCTATTAAAAAGTGTAACTTATCAAAACTGACATAAGAAAACAGAATACCTACAACCAATGAGGTGAATCATTAGATTCTTTATGTTTTCAGTAATCGTGCTGTTAGTGATAGTTTTAGTACTGCCATTCTGCAATCACCTGATGAGGAACAAAGCCAATGAGTGACATCGGATATTATAATTCTGCCATCCCCAACAACCTTAAGAAAATGGGATTTTTGGCAAGGGAGGAAGGAAGATGTGGGAGAGAAAAAGCATCCTTATGGTGCTCATTTTAAATTGGAATTATCAGTTTAAACTCCACAATGTATTTCATTTTAAATGAACACACACACTCACTCTCTCTCTCACACACATTTATATGTATATGTATTTTCTAGTTGTGTCCAATGGAAGGTTTAGAAATAATGACCAATTTTGTCAAAATGTATACTCCTAGTATCCAGACTATGATCTCTGAGTACCATTTCTCAAAAAGAATCAGGTTTTACTAAAATAGCATTAGTCAAAAACAATTTTTTTAACAAAATAAAATAAAATGAAAGGAATCAGGGCTCCTTGGAGAAATGGAGAAATACACATGATGAGTAAGCTTGGAACACCTTACCAGACATCAAAAAAGCTATCAAAGACTACTGTGGTTGTGACGAAAGGATGTGAAAAGGCTTCTACTGACCAAAGATGTGACAAGTTACACATCAATAAGAATGATAAATGCCATGAATTGAAACATTAAATATGCTTAAATCAATGAGTGCATACTGATACAAAAGAAATAATAACCACTGGACTAAGCTAGAGAACACACTATAATGAAAACCAGACTGGGCATGGTGGCTCATGCCTGTAATCTCAGCACTTTGGGAGATCAAGGCAAGAGGATTGCTTGAAACCAGGAGTTTAAGACCAGCCTGGGCAATATAAGAAAATCCAATCTCTACAAAAATAAAAAATAAAAAAGTGTACTTGTAGTCCCAGCTACTTGGAAAGCTGAAGCAGAAGAATCACTTGTTTCCAGCAGTTAGGCTGCAGGGACCTATTATTGCACCACTGCACTCCAGCCTGGGGGACAGAGAACTCCACGAAGAAAAGAATGGAAGAAAAGAATGGAAGGAAAGGAAGGGAAGGAAGGGAAGGGAAAGAAGAAAGGGAAGGAAGAAAGGAAGGAAGAAAGGAAGAAAGGAAGGAAGGGAGGGAGGGAGGGAGGGAGGGAGGGAGGGAGGGAGGGAGGGAGGGAGGGAGGGAGGGAGGGAGGGAGGGAGGGAGGGAGGGAGACAGACAGACCAGCAAATAAATAAGCATTTATTTCGCCTTTCATATATAAAGTGTATTAGGAAACCAGCAAATAAAGAGAAACAAGCATTTATTTCACTTTTCATATACAAACTGTATTACTGGATAGACAAATAATAACTTTCTCATTATAAAACTATTACAGCTAGTAAATGAAGAAGGAATAATAGAATAGATCATCATTTTATAATTTTTAATGAAGTAAGAGATCTAGACACTGAACATCAATGGCTACTAACATCACAAAAAGACAACTATTACAAATCTCTTGATCAAGGAACACATCACCACCTGTGACGAGCCTTGGAAAAAGAAAATCAACTCTAAATCTAATCACTGTCTAAATCCAACTATCAATTTATAAAAATACATGTAAATTATACCACAGGGATACTTGCCGAAATAGGCAGACTACTGGAAACTCTATAGGGCAAACAATCTGGTCTCTTAAAAAAAATGTATAAGACAAAGAGAAGCTAAAGATTAAAAAGCTGCATTTAATAAACATATACAGAATCCCACAACCAATAATAAGAGAATTACACGTTCTTTTCAAGCAAGTTATGTAATATTTTAAAACTTGACTGTATGTTAGTGCATAAGAAAGCCTCAGTAAATTTCAAAGGAATACGTATTACGATCACAATAAAATTAAGCTAGAAATCAATAATCAATCATATCAGCAATCCGTATTACTGATTTCTAATTCAATGCAGGCTCCGCCTCCCAGGTTCAAACGATTCTCCTTTCTCAACCTCCCAAGTAGCTGGGACTACAGGTGCATGCCACCATGGTTGGTTCATTTGTTTTGTACTTTTAGTAGAGACGGGGTTTTACCATGTTGGCCAGGCTGGTCTCACATTCCTGACCTCAAGTGATCCGCCCGCCCCGGCCTCCTAAAGTGCTAGGATTACAGGTGTGAGCCACCACACCCAGCCCACAACTCTTTTTTTTGGGATCCACAGAGATGCTTTCATACTAGGGAAATTAAACACAATCAGATCCCCGAAAAGAACTTTTCCTTTCTCCAAAAATGTCAAGCAATATATTAACAAGATATATAACTATATATACTAAAAATGAAACCAAGTAATATATATTTATTCTATGAGGAAATAAATTACTTGCTAAATTGAGCATGAATTCACATCTGAAAATATAAAATCCCAGAGCACTCTCTCCTGAAAATGCAGGCCAGACATGGTGGCTCATGCTTGTAATCCCAACAATTTGGGCAGCCAAGGTAAAAGGATTGCTTGAGCCCAGGATTTCAAGACTGCAGCGAGCTATGATCGTGCCACTGCACTCAAGTCTGGGCAACAGAAGGAGATTCTGTCTCAAAAAAAATACAAAATATTAAGGACGGTCTTTTTGCTCCTCAATTGCATCTTATTTAACATAATATTCTATTTAAATACTGATGAAAATCTCTCTTTTGAAAAATCCCACTATCATGTCCCTTATTTATTTTTAATTTTCCATAGGTTACTGGGATACAGTTAGTGTTTGGTTACATGAGTAAGTTCTTTAGTGGTGATTTGTGAGATTTTGGTGCACCCATCACCCAAGCAGTATACATTGCACCCTATTTATAGTATTTTATCCCTTGCTCCCTTCCAACTCTTTCCCCCAAGTCCCCAAAGTCTATTTTATCATTCTTATGCCTTTGTGTCCTCATAGGTTAGCTCCCACATATCAGTGAGAACACACGATGTTTGGTTTTCCATTCCTGAGTTACTTATCTTAGAATAATAGTCTCCAATCTCATGCAGGTCGCTGTGAATGCTGTTGATTTATTCCTTTATATGGCTGAGTAGTATTCCATAGACAGATAGATAGATGTAGATATATATACAATATATGATATATATTAATATAATGATATATATATAATATAATAAAGACGACACAAACGAATGGAAACATCTCATTCTCATGGATGAGTAGAATCAATATTGTGAACATGCCCA